GGGGGGGGGGGGGGGGGGGGGGGGGGCAGAAACATGAGGATGCGTCCTTTTTGGTTTCTTTTTGTTTTTATTATTTATTTTTCCTTTGTGTTTTCTTCTTGCATCTCCACCTCTCTGGCATAATGACGTGAACGGAAGAAAGGAGGAAGGGCCGCGTCAACAGTTAGCGGGGGGAGAAGAGTGGGACCCATCATTCATGACGGCTGAGCGCGTGGAGAGTGTTCTTGAGCTTCTTACTTACACCAAAGGCGTAACTGGTGTTGTTGTGTGCAACCGCGACGGGCAACCCATACGCGACAGTTTTCAGGACTTAGACCGCACGAGGGCGATGGAATACGCCGATATGGCCGCAGAACTGGCACGCGAGGCGGCTCCATTGCTTTATGCGGACGATACTCTAGACTCCCTGCGAGTACGCTCTCGCACAAGCGAGGTAATTATCAAGTGCCACGACGAGTTTCTGCTGGTTGTTATTCAGGAGTTCTCCGAGTGAAGGTGTTAACTCCAGACGGTCGTTGTCTGTTCATTTCACTGCATGTGGCGGTCGTACTGAATGCCCACTGCGCGGAATCGCACTTTCACATGTATTCTCCCCTCTCCATCCCGCCATGTACAGATGTGTGCGTATTTTCTCTGCACAGCATCTTTTTTTAATTATTTTATTATTTTTCATTCTTATTTATTTTTATCCTTTTATTTTGGTAAATGGACTTAGTGGCAGAGGCTGATGCTTCCGCTGGGAGTTTTGACTGCGGCGGAGGAAATAAACGCAGCCTCCGGTCGCATGGTGAGCGAGGATTTACCCGCCAAAGAAATGAGTGAGGCAGAGCGGCACATGTCTCTTATTCAACAATTTACTATGACACGACGGCAGTTTTACGTGAAGGAGGCACAGGCGATACGGCGGCAGCGGCAGTTGAGGGCAGCCGCCGCTGCGTATTGGGAATCTGCACTCCGTGACTTTGCAAAGGCGGATCGAGTTAAATTGTGCCTTATCATACTGCAATCTGGAGTGCCAGCATCTCTGCGGCCACAAACGTGGGTTATGGCGCTTGGCGATGCACTGAAAATAAGTAGGGCAGAATTTGAAGCGGCACAACAAAAAGCCCCGGGCCTAATGGCGGGGGAGAAGGAGGGCTCACCATATGATTTTCATGCATTCTCTTCTGCGACTATCAGTCTCCGCGCTGCAGCTGTGACTTCCAACGACTCTTCCCGCGCTAACACCGTTAGGATTTCACTTGCGGAGTGGCGGTCACGGCTTATTGAAGACCTGCAAAAGGGTCTGCCGCACTGTATGCCGACGGAGGTGATGCAGCGTGCCTCTCAACCGTCAACGAAGGAGGAGGAGCCCAACACTTCCAACGCGAATTCTTTCAGAGCGAGGGACACGGCCTTGGCGGATCAGGCGACTCCTTTGCAGGAATACCATGTAGGCTGCTGCAGCGATTCGGCTGTCGACACCAAACCTCCACTGCCGATTTCAGAGCACCGAAACAACGCACTGCTGGAAATGTTTAACATGAAAAGGTTGGAAAATGGATTGGATGGGACGACGGAAGCCGTTACTTCAGATGCATCTTGTAATAATAGTACCAAGGATGGTAAGGATGAAGACGAGGACCATGACGCAGCACGAAGCCCAACTCCATTGGTTTCGGATGCGAGAACATGGTTGCACAAAAGCGCACAAAAATCCATGGGAGTTTCTGTCGATTCATCTTTTTCTCTTCTTTATCCAAACATGGTATTCCCTATGCATGCAGTAAATGGTGATGGAAACAATTTATTTTTGTCTTCTTTGCTCAATGAGAATGCTGTACGAAGAGTGGATTCGTTGCTTCAAACATACATGGAGCTTCGGCCCGAGGTTGTATATGTAAAGGATATGCCTTGTCTGGCGATGATGCTCTCTCTCGTCATTGAAGATCCATGGGAGTTGTGTGTATGTTTTACTAGCCTTCTGGAGTACGGTCATTTGGCTCCTTTCATCCGGTCAAGAAAAGAAGGCATTACGGTGCACTTTAACATATTTGATGCCGTGCTACGAAAGGCCCATTCGGCCTTATATGGGCTCTTTCAAAGATATGAAGTGCCACTGGATGTATACTTATTAGACTGGTGGACCACAGTTTTCTTGAGGACATTGCCTGTTGCTGTTGCCTTGCACGTCTGGGATCTTTTTCTGTTGGACGAACATTATCTGTACCGCACCACCCTCGCGATCCTTGTGTATCGGTTTGGTCTGTACAACAGGCATGCACTGAGTTCTCTTCCACGGTCGTATTGCTCGCAAGAAGATGTGTTGCAAACTCTAGACCCATCTTCTTTAGATTTCTACATGTCTCCGTCACTTTTCTGTCGTATTTTAGCGAATGATAAATTGTGTGGTATTAGCATGCGTTCTATTCGCTCCATCGCGAAGCGTGTGGCAAGTAATCGTCCCTCTCATTAGTAGTATGACGCAACAACACGTGGCTTTTTTATTGGGAGCTTGTGAAAAGAATGATCGCGTGGTAGCTGGCTAACTTAATTAATGTATGTGTATATCCTGATAAATGAAGGCATTCTTCATGATACTTTCTACCGTATGAATCTTCTGGGAAGAATGCGACTTTGTAGGGGAGAGCAGGGAGCCGATAGAGGCCGGATAATATTTGTTTTTATTTTGCCATCCCACCCTAACCCCCTTTTGATTCCTACCACGCGGCGGGGTCTTGTGGTTGGAGGACCCCAAAGTCTGCCACTTCGTAAGTAACAAATACTTCAAATCCTAACTGAGAGCGAAGGACCATGCTGGTGGTCCACAGAATTATATATATTGAATGAAAAGAAAACATTGAAGCGATTAACTAAAGAACCTTTTTTCCTAACTTGTTTGGTTTCCATAAATAATTTCAGGATCCGGCCAGCGGCCCGGAAAATTATTCTTTTATTTATTGCTTGGTTTACACATTGGTCACTGGAATTATTGAAGCCATGGGAATAAGTAACTATCACCATAGACATTTAACTATTTATTTATTTATTTATTTCTTTTACTCAAAACGTTGAAGCAATTCCTAACCGTATCCTGGCATGCTATTTTACTTTTTGCCCCGTTGCATTTTATTTCTTTCTCTGTTTATTATTATTATTATTATTGTTGTTGTTTGAAAATCGAGTTATGCGCGTGTGTTTTTGAGTGCGGTCGTTTTTGTGTAACAACGTTAGCGTGTGTTCTGATAGCGCGTGCGTGTGTATTTTGCCACGGGGTGGCAGGGCGGGTGTACGGGAAGACGCATCCGCGCCATGTTACTTTTGTTGGTTTTTCCTCCCACAGAATATTTACATTCTCTTATCTTATTTTTTGCTTTTTTTAATTTCCGCGTCAGTGGCGGGGGTAAGGGCAACACGGCAGCCACACGGGAATGTTTCGTTTTGCTCGTCTCGCACGGCGCGGCAAGAGGCGAACTGTGCCTCACACGATTGCCTCGCTTCCGGCTCCGTCTCTGCGCGGCAGCTGGGGGAAAATTGGTCGCATGTCGTCGGAGGAGAGACGGGAGGTGCTGGAGGGTACATGGAGACAGGCGAGACCCGTGCAGCTTTTGCCAGACGCCTCCGATCGCGATGCGGGCGGGTTTGTGGAGGGTGTGAGTTTCCGAACGGACGAGGAGGTGGAGGCATTTCTCGCAGAGGAGATGCGGGAGGACCGCGCTGAGCATGAAATTCCCGCACTAGAGCTGTCACGTAGCTTTTTTGAAGAGCTGGCGCAGTCGGCAGACAGTGAGGTGGATATGGAGAATGCGTTGGAGAGCACCCCCGCATCGGACGTGGAGCGCGAGGAGGAGGAGCGCGATGTTCATCGTCAATTTTTTGCTGACTTTTACGTGCAGCAGGGAATTATTCGGGCGGAGGAGAAGTACGAATTTGTGGACGCCATGCTTCGGCCCCCAACGGTGATGGTGATGATGAACGCAGGGTTGCCGTTTGTTCGTCTCATGATTCGATGCCAACTGGAGCAGCACCTGCGGGCGTTGCAAGCTGGGCGGAGCGGCGTTGTTTTTTTGCCTCACCACGTCCACCCGTTGCTTTACATGGTGGACGCTGTGCCTACCCAACGCGTTGGGGATCCGCTCCGCCTTCCGTACACACAGGAACGCTCTCTTCTTGCCCAACGAGAGATGCAAGAAACGCTTGCTTTGAATAGCACTGACGACCGCAACGCATCTCCGGCATGCTCTTCAGCTGAAACACAGACGGAAATGAGGAGCCCCGAGGTGGATCTTATGGAGGCAATACTAAATGATAGGATCAGCACACATGAACTTCAGACGATTCGCACAGGGAAGGATGAAACAAAGGAAGTGGAGTGCGGCTCTGGTGAACGGTTTACTTTGGAGCAAATTGGGGAGGAGACGGCGTTGGATTTGCAGTCGGAGATACCAAGAGCTCCGCTCTCAACGGGTCATCTTTACTGGCTGCAGCGGCAGATAGCGTCAGATACACTTATTGATATGGATATGCTCGGACTGATGCTTCCTTTAGCGTGTGGATTGTGCCGCAATGCGGGGAATGGCGCTATTATTCTAGACATGTCTAGTCGTTCCCTCAATGCACAGCACTACTCCTATGGCAAAGACATTGCTGGCCACTTTGTAATTTCACGCGCCGACGTGGCGGAAGGGGCGGGCGAAAAGTCTTTAGAAGCCGTTGTCATCTCTCTTGTTTTGCCGAAACCTTCACAGAGGAAATCAGGACGTCACCATGACGCTCTACAACGCCCCAGGGCCACTTTGAATGAAGTGCCTGAGGACGAGGCGACATTGGGCGTGGGACAGTTGTACTCTCCAGGTTACCATGTGGGGATTGAGAATCGTATAACAGGACGGGGCCCTTCACGGCACCTGTGGGAGGCATTGCGTGGGAAGTGTGATGCGGTGCTTTGTTTTCCGGATACGACTGCAGACGGGCGTAGGCCACGCACTGTTTTGGGGGCCAGCGGTGAGGACGAGGAAAAAGAGGCTGTTGCCAATCGATTTGTCTCTGTATGCTCGAAAGTTAATAAATTCTTTCCGTACTTGCGGCAGGAACTTGCACAGGCGTTGGAGTATGTAGGAATGCAAGGGGGCGTTGTCGTGTATGCGACGCACAGTATGAATCCACTTGAAAATGAGGCTGTCATCTGTTCTGTTCTCACGGAGTTTAAGCGAAAATACCCGGGACGTGAATACCGTCCCTTTTCTCTTCTGGAGCGTACAACAGGAGAAGAAGCCGAGTTATTGCGTTCTTTTATGGCAAGAGGCCATCAGGGGTTAAAAAGGTGGGTCCCACTGCAGGATGGGCCTCCAGAGCAGGATCCGTCTTTTTGCGATGAAGAAATAGTGTCGATGGTCGCTCGTTGCTCGTGGAGGGCTGCGCCACTGCGTACCGACGGTGATGTGTGCTTTTTTTGTGTGATTCAGCTGTATGCGAGTTTTTCCGGTTTACCGCTGCCGCCATTGCCACCATTGGTCAGACAGACTGACATCCCAGCCATTTCCGCTTTTCCCTGGCTTGACACGGTGCGGTTACATGACCACTGGGGTCTTCTTATCCACCGAAGCGAAGAGAAACGTGCATTTGTGGCCGTAACCCCAGCGACACTTTACATGGCGAATGCTTTGAACTCACCACACCGTAAAAATGGATATAGCGTTATTGACTACGGGGTATGCGTCAGTTTTGATTCCGAGAGGCGCTCGGAACAACGGGAAGGCGTCGTTGTTTCTTCTTTGAGTGGCACGCTATTGGCGCTTGCCCTTTGTGACTCCACAAATGAGAATTATCGGTCTTCCCACGTGTTGGAACTTCCTGTTGCGGCACTATTGGAGTTGTTACATGCCAGACAGATTTCTTTGCGACGTGTGTCTGAGGTATTGGGTAGTTTTCCATCGGGATTGGGTGCCTCAGCCCTTGCTGCTGAAGGGGTGTCGACAGTTTTTTTGAAAGCAGCAGTACCAAAAATAGTGAAACCAGAGGGGGATAACATGGAAATACATGAAGCCGTGACGAGCGAGTTGTGCAGGCTTGTGGTGGTGGCCCAGGCAAAAGTACAACGCTGCCCGCATACGCAAATGAACACGACTGTTTTGACGTTGGAGTGCGCAACGGTGCGTGAGTGTAGCGAACTGGAGGAGCGTGTGGTGGCGATTGGGGACGCGCTGCGGTACCTGCTGCGCCGGTTGGATTACCCCACGACGGCGTGGGGGCCTATGAATACGGTCGGCGACGAGGGCCCACAGATGCGGGACGACGAGTACGAGGTGGAGGCGCCGGTTTCCTCAGCAGCTACGAATGATTTTGACAGCCTTCTTGGCAGTCGGGCAAGGTCGCACCACAGGCGGAAAATGCAGCGATTGGGCAATAAGCTGCGTTATTTGGGCGGCGGCCAAGACGGCCCGGTAAATGACTGGGAGAGGGATCTGAGACACACACGCCGTAGGAATCGTTTGGCTGTTACTCCGTCCTTTTTGCACTAACTCTGATTCATCATATTGCCATTCTTTCTTTTGGGAAAGGGTGTATTTTTCTCTATTCCTTTGATTGGCTTTGTTCCTCTTCTTCTGGCTGTTCTTTGGCTTGGGGTGGTTGTGCTTCTGTTTTTTTTTTTTTTTTTTTGAGCGATGCCGGGTGGGTTTTATTTATTATTTTTTCTTTTGGGGGTGCGAATGGCACACTGTCATCATCTTAGCCGTGATGCGGGTTTAGTATCAAACCCACAAGAGAAAAGGAAGTGCGAAGAAAAAAACGGGTTTGTTACATCGCGGAGGGTCACTATTTCTCCACTGAATGCCCTCCAACTTCTCTGAGAGCCATTCCTACGATGATTCATCCAACGCGTCAGGGAACTCCAAGGAACTTCACGCACTTCTCACCAATACACAGTTTGCCCTTCTTGTAGTCTTCTCGGGTGTCTGCCACTACGTTGCCCTTATCGTTTCTGCTCTTACGGTGGGGGAGTCGACAGGCACATTGACACTGCCGTTTGTTGTGGTGAAAAAACTGTTGATGGGGTTTGTGTCGGCCATCACGAGTTTTTTAAAGAGGCGGCGGGAGCGAGTGTTTGTTGGTGTTGGGTACGAAGATGATGGCGCGAGCGTTGACCGGTTTGATGCCATGAATCAACCATCGGAGGTCGGCCATGTGTGATGGGTGGGACTTGCCAGTTGGCCTACAAAACAAGAAGGGTGAAGGAAAACAGGACCGGGAACGCAGGAAAAGGAAAAGGAAAAAAAATCACTCAGATAGGTACAATATTGTACCACGAATTGCACTTTGTAGGCTTTTGCGCTTATATATTTTGCTTGTTTTTTTTGTTTTTGCCTTTTTTGTAAGCGGTTGAGTGAATATGGCGACACGGGTGCGTGTGTTGAGATGGCGTTGAGTGGGTGCTGTTAGAAGGCTTGAGGCGAGGGATTCGGATCTATGCGGTGGCTGGTAGCATTGAAATGCTTGTGTGTACTTCCTTGCTTTTCATTTTTTTCTTTTTTTCTTTTTTGCTTATCCTCTTTATTTATTTATTTTTTTGTGCCTTCTCTTTAAATAAATATATATTTTTATTTTTTAAGGTGGCGTGTGGCGTTTCTTATTTATTATTATTATTTCTTGCGTCATCATGTTCGCCGGCAGTACGACGAGTGAGTCACTTGCGCTTATGAGCCAAAAGGTGCTTAGCCGCGTTGTGGTGCAGGAGAGGGAGAACGTTCTTCTGCAGGGCGATGTGCGATTGCGTGAGGAGGAAGCGCAGCGGGCGGCGGAGGAGGAGCGCGCCGCTTTTGCAGAGTTGGAGGCCTCCGTGCAGGAGGTGGTGCGTTTGTGCCTGTCATGCGCCACCTCGGTGCAGGACGAGGCGGTGATGGACGCCGTGGTGCAGCAGCTGACGCAGCAGATTGGCGAGGAGGAAGCGGCGGCGCAGTCCTTTGCGCTGGAGGTGCAGCACGAGAGGGTGGCACTTCTCGCCCGCCGCGCGGCTGTGGCCGATGAGAAAACGGCCGAGGAAGACGACGCGTTTCGTCAGGAACACTGTGAGCGTGTTGTTGATGAGGAAGAGGGACGGCGGGAGAGACTAGAAATCATGCGGGTGGAGCAGGATCGTCTGGATCTGGAGCGGCGGACAGAATTGTCAACGTTGCGATACGCCCGGGAACTTTTTCACGTGAACACGGAGTGACTCCACTTAATGCTTCCGACTTTCCGCTCTTATCGTCCAGTTCTTGCGGATGCCGGTAGCCGCGTGCCTGTAGACGTAGCTGCTCTCTCCTTTCTCTGAGTGTGTGGTCTGCGACGACGTTCTTTTTTTTTTTTTTTGGGTGGGTGGGTGGGGAACGTTGTTTTTTGATTTCTTTGCTCCATCGCTTTTGTTTCTCACGTGAAGTTGCCTGTTTTTTTTGTTTTTGTTGTTGTCTTTTTGTTTCCCTCCACCAACTGAATGGTCGGGTGCGTGCGTGTGCGGTAGAGTGCGAGAGCGCAGAAGAAAGCGAAGAGATAAGACAGAAATAATGGCCCCGCCCAAAGCGCCGCTTCCGGCCCGCCTGATTGCCGGGGACTTTCTCGGCTTTAACTGGAACAAAGTGACGTGGATGGCACCGTACAACAACTTTTACCCCATCACAGTCTGCGGCGGTCTTGGCGGGCGTTTGTGGTCGTCGTTTATTCAGTACGGCCACTTCCACAACCGTACGGGCTACAACGTTGTGCGCAACGGGTTTCTTGCCATTCCGTCGGCCCTAGCCGCCTTTTTCATGATTTTTAATGCCGACTGGTACCAGGCGCTAGCGTCCGCATGCTTCGTACTGAGGCAGGATGTGCCGACGTGGGCGCAGGAGAAGTACGCGAAGGAGATGGTGTACCTTTCATGGAACAAACCCGGTGCAATGGCGAAGCACCATTACGCCGGCACCGTCTCAATTCCTGGCACGGAGAAACTCATTAAGGATTAGAGGCGCTGAGGTTGAGGAGGCAAAGGAAGAAGAGGCGACGGCCTCTGCATGCGTGGCGCTTAGGGAAGTAGAAAAAAAAGAAAAAGAAGACCAGGAATAAAAACGAAAAAAACAAAAACAACAAAAAATCTTAACTTGAATTCTCCACGCGAAGCAGAAGAAGAAGAGAATTGACATCTGGAGTGTTTGTTTTGTGAACAAACTGAAAAGGGGAATGGAGGGATGGCATTGAAGGATGTTTCTTCTGACATTTTTCTGAGGGAGAGAGAGAGAGAGAGAGAGAGGGGGAGTTCTGACGTAGGAGGCACGGGAGAATGCGTGGAGAGGGCTACACGTCGCTGAGATGTACACAGCTAGCAGGTTTTAGGGCGGGCCGTGTGAGTGGGAAATGTGGTGGGTGCGGTGCTGACATGCGGAGTGGGTGACGGTGGAGCCTCAATTAACACGGTGTGGCTTCTTCAGTCTGTTTAAAGGTTTTCTTTTTCTGCCTTTTTTTTTTTTTTTGTTTGACCCTTTTTTTTCTATGAATTGCGCCGATGCGGTTAGTCGCGATCTGGCGGCCGTAGCGGCACACCCTCTCGTTCTCAGTAGCAGTAGTGAAAATAAAAAAAAAATAAATAAAAAGTAAACGTATATAAATAAAGTAAAACGCCACTTGACCGCATGACGGTTTGTGGCTGCAATCATGCAGAGACTTTAAGTCGGATTCGTACCGAAATTCATCTGGTGGAGGTGCAGTTGCGCCGCAGCCGTGAGGCGCGAAGAAAATACGGCATTGGTTATGAAAGCAACACCACAGGCTGCGCTAATGAGACATTGCGAGCATCTTCAGTTGACATGGGGCCGAAGCGGGAAGTTTTGTTACTGAGTTTGCCCAGCACACCGTGCGATGAAAAGTTGACCTCGTGCACGGAGGCGGCGCATTCACCGCTGGCGAGGGCACCAGCGGCTGCACGCAAGGAGGGGACAATTCTCCATCTTGAGAAGGGGTCCTTTGGTCGCGAGAAGTTCGTTTTGCGGTTTTTGTTGGTGGATGAGCACGAGGGGGTCATGTGGTACAAAAGCGAGCAACACTGCCGCTCCAATGCGTCAAGGCCGCTGGGCCACGTTCCGTTCTGGAAGGAGACACGAGACTCCCGCGGTAGTCGATTTAAAAGGGCGGCGGTCTGCTGGCCGCGGATCCTGCCGGAGGACTGCCCCAAGGCGGTCGATCCGCAGAAAAAGTATTTCGCAATTGAGTACCGGAAAGAAAAAGATGCGTGCAGCAAACTGATTTTTGCCGCCGGGAGTGACGAGGAGCGCAATGACTGGGTGCATTTTATCACACAATTTATTGACGTGTTCTTGGCACCGCGTGCGGGGTCGGAGAACCTCCAGCACACCCCACGCGCTCCAACACCCCCGCGGAACTGTTCGAGGTTTGATGACGGAGAGGCGCCTGACGGCAACGTTTCGTAGACGTCGTTTGCCCGCAGCAGGGCGTATGCATTTGGATTCCCCTCTTTGATTTTTGTTTTATTTTTTATTTATTTATTCAAGTCAGTGCACACCGGCCCCCTCTTTTTTTTTTTTTTGCCTAAAAAAGAAAAAAAAAGTATTTTTTCTTTTGTTTTTTGTCCCACACAATCTTGAACCTTTTATTTCGTTGGTGCGTCTGCCTGTTGTGTTTGCACGTCACCCCTCCCCCCCCCCCTCTACCCGTCGTGGTATTGCACCCCTCGTTTTTTGAAGCGTTATTTTTTTTTGTGTTGGACTCCTTCCTCTCTTCTTCTCTCTGTGTGTGTGCATGGGAGTAAAAAAAAAAGAAAGAAAAGAAAGGAGGAACAACAAAAGAGGAGGTGCTGGCTCAGGGAGCCCTCACGGGGACCACCTTCTCTTTTTAAAGGCATCAGATGTCGCTCCCAATCATTCGTCTGCGCACTGTAAACTCGAATCATGCAACGGCGGCGGATGATCCCGTCACGGCCTCTTGCACGCTGTACGGTTTTCTTCGCTCCGTTCCCAGTCGTTTCGAATGCGACATGGCGATGAGTGACTTCAAGCGCGGCGTCCAGGCGGCGCAGGGGCAAACATGCTTAACGAAAAACAACGACAATATGCTGAACCTTGTCTTTTCCTCTGTGCAGGACCGTCTTTTGCGAGAACTACCGAAAATTATTCCTCAGCTGGCGAGGAATTCGTCGACATGGCGAAGACTGCTGAGTGGAGCGGAGTCCACGAGCTCCATGAATAGCACGCCGACGGCTACGCGGTTGCAGGATAATGCACGCAGTCTGCGCATTGAAGAGAGCGCACAGCCGTCGATACCATCGACCCCCTTGCCATCCGCAGGCACCGGTGAAAATGGAAACAAAGGGAACCACAAGAATGGTGATCATCATAGTAGAGCTGAGGAGATTTTGGTGGAAGAAACAGTTTCCACGACCTCCACACGGTTCAAAAGTCCGTACGAGCAAATACCACCGCCCATTCACTTAACGGCGTCCGAGCATAAAGAAAGCCGGGCAACTGGAGGGATGCAAGGGGAGACGGGGGAGGGGAAAGATGCCAGCACGATTGTTGAGCACCGTGGCAAGGGGAACAACTTCACTGGAAAAAGTTACCGGCCGCATCCACTGCTTCTTGCCATCTTGGAGCGTGTCCGGTCATCCTGCTCGGCGGAAGAGAATGAGAGCGATAGAGAAGAGCGTGAGTTTACCACCATTATGGAGTCGAGGGAAAAAGCGCTCCGCACCAAGCTATCAAGTGCATACTCCATGATTCCACCAGAAGAAAAGAATTGTATGGGCTTCTTGCGGGATATGGAAGCACGTGTCGCTGTTGCACAAAAACTCTTTGAGGTGCAGAAGTTTGAGGAGACGACGATCCGGATGACCGAGTGTGCGCTGAAGATAGAAGTAGCGACGATGCGGGCGCTTCTTCATCAGATTGTGGACGCCGTCGCGGAGGCAGAGGAACGTCATGAGCGGGAAGGCCCTCGCAGTCCCTACTACGCAGAGGAGTGTCACGTCATGGCAGCAATTCAGCAAGCCCTGGATGATTTGGCTTCATAAGCCAAAATTTATGGACTCTCATTCTACCGTCACAGTTTTGGTGGCAAACTTAAATACATGCTGACTTTTCAATCTGCTTGTGTCCTTCGACCACATTTCTATATATATGTTTTTTTTTTTCTGGTTTGTATTTCTTTCTGAAAGCCTTTACCCCTACGAGGAAAAATGGCGTCTCTAGCAGGGCCTGAGATAATGGAGGCCCCCAAGAACGTCCTTTTTCGTCGTTTTGCAGTTGCACCCGATTGTTTGACTGGGTGCAAGAGAGAAATTCTAGCAACATGGAGTAAACCTTCGGTCCCTTCTATCGCCATGGACGCTGAAAAAGTGGATACTTCTCCCTCTATTTCTCTGGATCGTTCTGCCCCTTGGGTGAAACTCCCATATCCTGCCATTGATGTGGCCTGGTGTCCATTTAAGGAGGGAAATACTTACGCCGCATTCTTGACGGCATGTAGCAGCTGTCCGTTACAAATGTGGGACGCAGATGACGCGTCTCTTCGCGCTTCGTACTGCTGTGATAACGCTCTTGGAAAACCAGCAAGCCCACATGCGTTATTATGGTCCCGCTGCCACACGTTTTTGGCGGGTGGGTACGGCGGCACTTGCGACCGTATCCACGTACGTCTCTACGATGTTCTTAGGGAAGGGGATACAGTTCATTCATCGTATTGCTCGCCTTGTTCGAAGGGTATTGTCTCCGCCCTTTCAGATGGACCCCCGCCATATGGGGAAGAAATGCTGTTGGCAGGGTTTATACGATCTGGAAACGTAGATGTTATAGATACACGGCATTTTGGAGCGGCGGCCGTACTACGTGGTTTGCGGTCGGGTGTTGCGCAGATTCAGGTTCATCCAACGCTGGAGTATCTTGTTTTTGCCGCAGGTCGACTTGGTGATAATCGAATTGTCTGCTGGGATATTCGCAAAAGCAACCAGATTTTTGCGACCTTTGACCGAAAGGTGTCCACACAACCAACCGCCTTTTTTGGGCTTATTTTGCCACGAGGGACAGGAGGGCGGCGAACGTGTCTGGTGTCGGCAACGCATGACGGTGGCGTGTTGGTCTTCGATGACGTTTTTGTTGCGCGTGAACCGCGACGAATTCAGAAATCTTTGGGGCCGACTGCAGGGTTGTCTGTTCTCGAAGATGGGACGGTTATTGCCACAGTGGGGGAGCGTCAGTACCCCGTGCGAGACACGTATGAGGCGAATGGGGGCGAGTCGAAGACGAATATGAGACTTGCGAAGCGGAAACGCGCCCCGTTTGATGATTCAGAGACGGAGACGGAGGATGGGTTCTGCAACGGGGATTTTGCGGCCGGTGCTGCGGTATTCCGGTTGTAAAGGTGTGCTATGGGGAGGTGTGCTTGTTGGTTATGTGGTGTTGGGGTCCACGGCGTTGCCCGCAGACGGGGCGAATTATTCGCCTCTTATTTTTTCTGCCCTCCCCTTCCATTCTGTTATTTTTATTTTTATTTTCTCTTGTTCTCTGCAACCAATGCGCCAACGAAAACATAACAAAAAGGAGGGAATTTATGTGGGGACGCTTTACGGCGGGTCACATCGTACACGGCACGGCCATAAGCGAAGAGTGAGTGGGAAAAAGGAAACGAATAAAACAAAAGAGGGTCCTGGTTATAATTGTCTTTTTTTTCTTCTTCTTCCAGTATGACTCAAAGCCTTGACAGGGTTCCGCACGACACAAAGGGGGAGAGTATAGGAACGCTGCATGTTGTGAACTTTCCCTGTGCCCGCCTCCTGACGCTTTGTCGCCCAGCCATGCTTAACGCTCTGTCACTTGAGATGGCTCAACACATGCTGTGGCTGCACCTAAAGAGACCGCATCCAAGCCTTCCTCGCAGTGCGATTTATATTTTAAAGGGTGCAGGCAACAAGAGTTTTTGCGCCGGTGGTGACGTTCGAAGTATTGTTGCCCATGGCACTTTGTGTTCTTTCTTAAGAACAACCTATCAATTGAACTATCACATACTTACCATGCCGAACCCGCAGGTCTCCCTGTGGGATGGCTACGTCATGGGTGGAGGTGTCGGTGTTTCTGTCCATGGGCGATATCGTGTGGCGTCGGAGCGTGCCGTCTTTGCAATGCCTGAAACGGCCATTGGTCTCTTTCCAGATGTGGGGGCGTCGTGGTTTCTGCCTCGTCTAAAGATGAAGGGACTTGGCCTGTATCTTGGTCTCACAGGAGCTAGGCTGAAGGGGGCCGATGTGGCACACACGGGTCTTGCAACGCATTACGTCCCGTCAGCCCGCTTTTGTGAGCTGGAGGAACGCCTGTGCCACATTGACGACCCTGCGAAGGTGGAGGCATGCCTGGAGGAGTTTGCTGTGAAGGATTTGCCACCGTTTACGCTTGAGCCCCACCGTGAGACCATTGAGAAGAGTTTTGCATTGGAGGAAAAAACCACCGTGGAGGGCATATATGAGTCTCTCTCTGCTGACGGTGGGGAATTTGCGATGGAGGCGCTGAAACTGTTACGCAAGGCTTCGCCTACATCTCTTAAAGTGACATTGGAATTATTTCGACGTGCATCTCAGATGACGAGCATACGTGAGGCTATGTCATTGGAATATGGTGTTATTCAACGCATGTCGTCAACTAACGAGTTTGCAATTGGCGTGAATGCTTTGCTGATTGAGAAGACAGGCGATCCGCAGTGGGAGAGGAGGACGCTTGAGGAAGTGACAGCGGCAGAAGTGGATTATTTCTTTGACAGCGTGGGCCTTGTGCCGTGGGACCCAGAGGCCCCTTTGGAAACAATGATGGAGGCAAGAGGCGAGGGGGTGTAGACTCCTGCGCGCCTTTTGCGTAAAATTGTGAGGGACGTTGGTAAGAACAATGGGAAAAAAAAGAAAAAAAAAAGACTGCCACATGAGTAAAGAAATTCTGCTGCTAAGATTTATTTGTTGAGCGCAAACGCATCACATTGAAATTTTTTTTTTCCCCTTTCAATATATATATATATATTTCCAACGAGGAAAAGCCAAAAAAAAAAAAAAAAAAAGAAAATACTTTGAGGGTATTGCCTACTTCACACTGTGTGGTGTTGTTACGTAAACAAATACAAGGTAAGAGAAGGTGGGTGGGGAAGGGAAATAGAGGGAGCCAGAGACAAGAGGAGGAGGATACAATTTATACTTGGGAAGATTTGGAATTTTTGAAGAAGACGCAATGCGGCGAACAATACGGGTTTTCACGGGTAAATTGTTGTGGGAGACTTCACCAATACTCGTCTTATCACTATAAATCGTGAGAAGGCTCTGAACTCTATGGATTTGGAAATGGTGAAAGCCATGCAACGGGCGTATGTTCATGAGCCACACGCCAAAGGGGACTCTGCGCTTTTTGTTGTCAAGGGTGCAGGCAACAAGAGTTTTTGCGCTGGTGGAGATATCGTCAGTCTCAAAGACAGGTATGACGTCGCTGCGGAGTTCTTTTATACGGAATATCAATTGAACTATCACATACTTACCATGCCGAACCCGCAGGTCTCCCTGTGGGATGGCTACGTCATGGGTGGAGGTGTCGGTGTTTCTGTCCATGGGCGATATCGTGTGGCGTCGGAGCGTGCCGTCTTTGCAATGCCTGAAACGGCCATTGGTCTCTTTCCAGATGTGGGGGCGTCGTGGTTTCTGCCTCGTCTAAAGATGAAGGGACTTGGCCTGTATCTTGGTCTCACAGGAGCTAGGCTGAAGGGGGCCGATGTGGCACACACGGGTCTTGCAACGCATTACGTCCCGTCAGCCCGCTTTTGTGAGCTGGAGGAACGCCTGTGCCACATTGACGACCCTGCGAAGGTGGAGGCATGCCTGGAGGAGTTTGCTGTGAAGGATTTGCCACCGTTTACGCTTGAGCCCCACCGTGAGACCATTGAGAAGAGTTTTGCATTGGAGGAAAAAACCACCGTGGAGGGCATATATGAGTCTCTCTCTGCTGACGGTGGGGAATTTGCAAAGGGTGCCATAAACACGTTGAACCGGATGGCACCCACATCTCTCCGCGTGTCCCTAGAGATGCAGAAGAGGGGCGTGAAAATGACGGATCCCGCAGACGTGTTTCGAATGGATTACATTGGGTCTCTGAGGACCCATGTCAATTCGGACTTTCATGAAGGGGTGAGGGCACTGCTTGTTGACAAGACAAAGGATCCCAAGTGGAAGCCGGCCAAGCTTTCCGACGTCACTGCGGATTATGTGGAGGCGTACTTTAAGCCTTTGGGGAATCAAGCTCGCCAGTGGCATCCGACTTTGCCGTACTAATTGGGACATTCTTTATTTTTTTTTTTCTGGCAGTTTTGGTGTTTTGCTGCATATGTTTTTGATTTCTTTTGTTCTTGTGATATTTCTGTTAGTTTGATGGAAAAATCGTGCGATTTTTGGATTTGCGAGCGATTGCTGCGCCGAACTTCATTTTTTTTTTTTTTTTTTTTTTGGGGAGAGGCGAGGTGATTGAAGTGAAGTTACCGCTGATTGAGATGCCGCTTTTTTTTTTTTTTTTTCCTTTTTGTCTCAGTAGCTGGTTTCCCGCTTTGTTCCTGCTTGCGACTCACCGCGAATGAGTGAGGGGGTGGGCGTCGGGGAGGGTACCAGCCGCGTGCGCCCCCGGGCCAACAAGGAGAATGAGGAGGGCGCGTCAGGTCCGGACGACTCTGCAGGCAGGGGGAAGGAGATGGTACCCTTCTCCGCCCAAGGAGAGGACTGGGCAAGCCAGATGCTGCAGTCTCTCAAAGAGGATAATTTTCGACCCCCCTTCACGCTCTCCAGCACAGTCCGCCCGTATCACCGTTCGTTAGACACATCCACAGCGACGACGCCGGGGGTGGGGACGGGGGCATCTCCCGTGTTAGAAGCGGCGGACCTGGACGTCACCATCGGCAGCATGTCCAGCTTCGCTTCCGATTTTGGCCGAAGACGACGACGAAGACGCGAACAGCTAGCCCTTGAAAACCCTGCCGAAGGGGAAAGGCAGCGGAAGGATTTAGAGCGGGCCCTTCAAAACTTAGAAGAAATGCAGCGGGAGAACAGGGAGCGGATGCGAATTGTGGCTTCATACGCGCCTAGTACACGCGTACGATCTCCCAATGAGAAAAGTTCGTGTGGATCAGAGAGGCGTTTGTTGCACTACTTCCGTACGCAATCGGCCGGCAGCTTGCCGTTCTGTAAGGAATCGAGAGGCCGCGCACTCAAGAGACTGATGACATCTTCAGCGATGCCTGAGCCAAACATGACGACACCAATGCCTTTACCGCGGCGGCAGGAAGGAATCAACTCCTCCCTTTGTGACACGCCTTCACCACCGCAACATCGACGTGTGGACCACCCAAGCACCAAAATTAGTGAGGCTCAGAAACAAACGACTTGCGAAAATATTAATTTGCTAAGGAAAGAACACAGATCGGGGGCGTCAATGTCTCGGGTAATAAAATTTGAGAGAGAGCCATCAGAGATATTGGGGAAGAGTCCATCACCGCCCCGAGCGAATCCTTCCCCGCCGTTAAGGACTCCAGTTGGAAATCAAGGAGTTGGCAGTGGGGGCCGTGATGGGCCCGTAAACGGTCGAGATGGATTTGGACATGCCCAGAGTGCATTAGACGCAGGGGGGAATCGATGCGCATCGGCCGTTCCTTTCGAGGGCAAAGTTAGGCGTGGGGAGCCGAATGGCGGTAAACAAGTCGATAAAGTAAAAACGCCTACACCAGGCCGCGGAGGACGCTCCACTTCGCCCCCAATTATTATTTTGACGGTGGACTCGAGAAGGAGCATGGGAGAGGAGGATGCGAGGCGACTGCTGTCCGCGGAGCCAATCAAGTCTCCAGAGCCACTTTTACGACGTACGCCTCCCGGCCCCACGGGACGCTCAGCAGGAAACAATCCGCCAAAGAAGCAGTTTGCGGAGGCGATGCTGCGATCATCGACCATGAAGGAGCTGCCGTCTGCAGCAACAGAAGGCGTCATAAAGGAGAATTCGCAGCCGGAATGCAAAAAGGCTCGCGCCGCAATTCCGAAAAGTTCTCTTCCGGGAGCGGGTGCCGCGGCTCCTGTTGTTGCTATCGACAAATCAAGGGTGGAGGAACGTCATGAGGGCCACCGTCAGCCTGGCGCGTTGAACAAACGACCATTAGTAGGTAAGTCTCGTAACAGTGTGGAGGCGCCCTCCTTCACAGAAGTGGCGGCAAAAAAGTCAACTTCAGTCATCAACCGAAATTTGGTCGTTGCGTCTACGAGCAAGCAACGCAAAGCCAAGAGTGGCAACGGGACTTCGAAAATTACTGTTGTCGTTTCAGGAGAGACGAAGACGAAGACACAGCCGAAGCCCGAGCCTCGTAGTGCAGGAGCCGTTCGCAGTCCGGCTGTCGTAGCTGGGCGGACGGCTACTGCTAGTACACGGTACCGGGTAACTGGAATCAGCACCCGCGCCGCGCCTTTGCGCCGTGACGATCCAGCCACTTTAGATGAGAGAGGCGTGTGCCGTGGTAAAAAGAGTACGTCCCCTCCGTATTCCTTGGAGACGGCCTCCAGTGTCTCAAAGCAAAATTCTTTGCGCCAAATTCCACGGGGGCGGAGGAGTCCTTCGTCATTGACGCTTATAACACCTCTTGAACGTGAATCATACCGTCCGTTGGGCAATGACCGTCCAATTGATACTCCACTTAAGGCCGTGAGACGCGGTCCCGTTGGTGAACCATATTCGCCTAGACGACTTGTTCCATTTTGTACGGAGTGTGGAAAAAAACACCTTAGTGAGAAGGTAAAGTTCTGTGCCTTTTGTGGTCATAAGCGTGAGGCTGTGGCAATGTGAGTTGGGTGCGTGTGTTGTGGAGTGGGCAAAGGGAATGCGGGTATATGTGGCTGTCATGAATACGGGAAAAAAAAGAAAGAGGAGGAATATATATATATAAACTAGTGACACATTTACTGCGTGCATGGGGGTGTGACGTGCCACACGCATTGAAATGCTTTGCAGAAAAGCGAGACACATATATCTGTTCATATGTATAAACACGTATGATGTAGTTCTCTGAAGTTCCTTCCATCCCGATGGTGTGAGTCTCATGCTGTTGATGGACGACGCTCATCTTAGTGAATGATGCCGGGAACAGGGCGATCGTTGCGTTGAGATGTTGCCAATGGTGGGAAGTGATGCCCTCCCCCGTCGGAAACAAAAAACAAAAACAGAAGACAACAAAAAACAAACAAACAAACAGAAAAAGGGAGGACAGGGGCAACAGGAACACACACACACACACACAAGCAATAAAAAAGAGGAGACACCAAATAAAACGATGAAAAGTAGACTGACTGAGGGGCTGCACTTAAAACGGGCAAAACTCTTTCCTTTTTTTCTCTCCGCCTCCTCCCTTCCTGCTTATTTTTTTTCCACCAGCCGAAGAAGAAAAATACATGCGAGAGGCGACGAGGGAGGCGGCGAGGCCCACAAAGGAAGGGAGGCAGGGTAGAGGAGGGACGAACAGTTTTTGTGGATTGAGGGCTGACATTGAAGGAACCAGTGCGACAGGAATAAAAACAAGAAAAAAAATAAAGGATGAAAATAAATTATTGATTACTCGGAATAGTGTGGCGGAGTGCCAGAATATATTTGTGGGCCATCGGGGGGTTTTCTCGCCTTTCTTTGCCCTTGTTTTTTTCCCTTTTTCCCCTTTCTACTTACTGGGCTCACACGCGTTTTTGTGCATTTTTTCTCTTGGCCAAAAAAAAAAAAGAAAAAAAAAAGAAAACACAAGCAAACAAACAAGCAAGCAAGCAAACATATATATATACACACATACCAACAGAGAACACTGGCACAACAGCATTGCCCTCTCCACTACACTGCACTGCACTGCCGATGATTTCTCTGGCGGTGATGTTTCTTCTTTCTGTGTCTTTTTTTTTTTTTTTTTTTTTTGCAAGAGGAGCAGAGGAGGGAATTAAGGAAGGGGCTCGGACTACGTTGCGGTCACGTTTCACTGCGCCGTATTGATTGGGGAGGCCGCGATTATTGATGCCATCAGCAGGGCCAGAGAACACACAAAAAGACGTCTAGAAGGGTAAAGAAAACCCGCTGAGCAGAGGGTCTCTGTACCTGCGTTTTGTGTGGAGAGAAAAGGGCGGAGGCACATCTTGTGGCTATGCGACGTGCCCGCTTACTGTGGCTTTCTAAGCGTCTTCGCGGTACGGTGATCTCGTGGCATCCGTTTGAGCGGCACGGTGTTATTCGTTGCGCGACGGATGGCAAGGAGTACAAAATTCCGAATGCTCGCGCTTTTGAGACTATTTTGCCCACACGACTGCGCCAATTGGAGGGCGCCGCGGTCGAGTTTGAGGCCATTTGCGGCACTCTAGACGTGGACCGTGTCATCACACGCAGTCGTTTGGAGCCCATCACGGCAAAGAGTTATGAGCGAAAAAGTCCCGTTGATTTTCTCGCTGGATTTTGTCTGGAGTCGAGTAATTTGACGACACCAGAGGCAACCTCAGAACCAAGCGCCACATGCGCCTCTTCCTTATCCTCTCCGTCGGCACTGTTTCCGCAGCCACTTGCTGGAAACATTACTGTTGACTTGAGTACAGTGATGTCAAAGAGGAGCAATGAAGGAAGTGCCCCTGCGAATAGGGAGGGTGCAGAGAATACAGAAATTGAAGGAGAGGAAGAGGAGAGTGTGCGAGCTCCGCGGGGTGTAAAGGATCTTCGCAATCTCGTGGTATTGGACGAGGATACAAAAGAACTGTTGCGGTTACGTCGTCAACTTGGCAGTGATGCAAAAGCCCGCGAGGTCCTGCAGCAACGGCGAAAAGAGGCTGAGGCCGCGAAGACGAAACAACGGAAGGTACTTTCCACCCATCAGACGGGTGTTGTTTTGGCGTGGTCCTCGCTGCATCGTAGTGGCGTTGTGCTGGAGAATGCCACGGAAGTCCCTAGGAATGCATCTGAGAATAACATGGAGGGCATGTGCATTATTCGCAATGTCGATTCCTTTGACACGGCGCTTCCGACGGAGCTGAACTTGGTCGGCCGCACCGTAACCTTTTCGAAGGTGGCGTACGGGTGTCATCCTTTGAAGGTTTTTGCCGAAAACATCCGAGTGAGTGGGAGTGTAAACTTTGACGAGGCACGGACTGCTGCAACGGAGGCTAAGGCGAAGGAGGCCGCCGCTACGGAGCATTCGAAACGTGTCAAACAACTTGGTACCCTCTTTGAAGAGGAGATGGACCACGCGGATGAGCCGTTGCCCACCGGCCCCCTCTACGGTGTGGTGACCCGATGGAGTGGGGGACAGGGCATCGTGGAGACGGGCAACAGGCGACTGTATTATATTCACTCCGCGGCAGATTTTATACAACTTATCGACCAAACAAGTAACACTATTCGTGGAGCTGTTGTTCGTTTTACCGTCGATAAAGAAAATCGTCGCAACGCACGGGAGGTAAACATCCTTTCGCTTGCTACGCGGGAAATTAATTCTGTGATGCCCATGCTGGAAAGGCAAAAAGGACCTACAAAGACGACGACTATTTTTGGTGATGGAATTTCTTCCGTTAATGCTGCCTCTTTTGTTGCCGGTGCGGATGGGGAAAATAGCAATGCTATTGCAGCCGATGGCGGAACGGGGGAACTTTTAGCCGATGCCAACTGGGTGCAAGGAATATTGATTACGTGGTCGTCTTTAGAGGATCAGGGTGTCATTCAGGGTGATGACGGCAATCGGTATCTTCTTCGTGACGGCGAGGAGCATGTGAGGGATTACAAGACGTGCAAATCTCTTTTAAAGAAGGGTCGCCGTGTGAAATTTGTGCCCTTTGGCGGTACCGGTCTTTTGGCATGTCATGTCGTGCCTTTGGAAACTGAGGCAGACGAGGCGACCCTTGCGGAGGCGGAGCTGCAACCCAAAGAGCAGCGTGTGAGTGAGGGACACGCCGAGGAGGCCATTGCTTCCCCCATGAGTACCGCATACTGGATCAACCGGATGGACCGTGCAGGGTACGACACCACGGAGGTGAAAAAAATGCAAAACAGGGCAATCACCTTTGACGATGACGATGACGATGACGACAAGCTGCTCGATAGCGAGGATCTTTTCAAAAAAGATCACTGGTTTAATGACCCGCGGAAGAACATGCGGCTTCCAAACAGTGATATGACGGCTGGCAACCTTGCTCTCATTGGCCCTGCCTCGATGATGAACATTGCCATGAAGGCTCACAATCCTCAAAAGCTGGAGAAGGTGAAGAACAAGTACTACAACCGTCTGACGGAACCCATGAAGGAGTTTGCGTGGAAACAGGCAAAGGAGCTCGCCCCCAAGTATGAGAAACGCATCAAAGAGGCGCGTGAAAAGGGAAACGAACCTCGATTTTCCTTTTATTGAGTTTCACGCGGAGGTGCCAAGAAAAAAAAAAAAAAGGAAGGGAAAGGGAATGAAGAGCATAGTAAACGGCTGAAGAACCAAATTTATATTCTCTTCCATTTTTTGTTCTCTTGTTGTCATTTGAACAAAAAGTTTATTTATTTATTTATTTATTTATTTTCTTTCTTTCTTTCTTTTTTCCTTTTATTGCCACACCTGAAACACAGTAGCGGGCCCACCGTTGCTGCAAGAATTGACGATGGTTTCCAAGACGAGGAGGCAGCGACAGCGGCGGAAGGCGGTACTTGAGGCGAACGATGGTGTTCTTCCGCCGGTTTTACCGGCAGTGCCCAAGTCGGTGCATCTGAAGAAAACGCGGCCCAAGATGAAGAGCAAAATGAAGATTCGTCTTGGCCACGAAAGTCGTGTTGACATTTACGAGGGGTTTGAGGATCACAAAGGTGTTTTGTGGAACTGCCCGAATTGTCAGCGGGAGTGCCGTGTGGTTGGATTCTGCGTCGATTGTGCCACTGGCACAAGATCAAAAACACACACAGGGGTATTGATGGCGCGCCACAAGAATGGGAAGAAGTCGACAATGGCGTTGGCGGTAAGGAAACCGAAGAAGCTGAAGCTTAGTAAAAAAACGAAGTGAACTGCAGATGTTTTGAGGTGTTTATATCTAACCGCAGTGATTAATGATATTTTTGTCCGGGGAGGGTGAGTGGGTGGGTGAAACGAACACCGCACACGCACTTCTCTTTATTCCTGTCTCTGTGTGCTTGTGTCGTTGGGGACGGTGCATCTTTGCGCTGCAATGAATGTCTTTGGGTGGATAAGACGATGTCGCTTTGGCTGAAATTTGTTTTCTTTTTCTTTTTTAATTTTTGCTTCCGGGTTGTACTTGCAAGCACTATATTGTCATTGGTAGCGTTTATAGCTACAGTGAAGGCAAGGGCGATTGTCAGTTAATGTTCATGGAGGAGCTTCGCAAGACGCTGAAGGATGCTCATTTGGAGGTGTTGAACGCAACAGGATGGGGCACGTTGCTGGATGGACTGGCTGCGTCATGGAGGGACGGTGGAAGCGACATGCTGCCGTTTATCTACAGAAAGGTGAGCGACTTCGTGGCGGCGGTGAACTGGTCTGAGCCTTTCTTTACGTACCTTGCGCTGTTTCACACTCTTGTCATTGTTTTAGTCTTGGTGCTCACCTGGCGTGCGTCGGCGGAGCGTATCTTTGTGGTGGCTTTTTTTGTCCTGCTTCTTGGCTGGTGCTCCTCGTACCTCAACGAATATGGCCGATTGCATGCAGCGGAGATTTTTGTGGAAAAGGGGGTGAACTATTTTGACCGCGGTGGGTTGTTTATCAGCGTGGTGTACTTTTGCCCAATTTTCCTTGTTGCTCTGCTGTTGCAGGGGCGCATCCTTCTGCAGATGTTGAGGCTGATGGTTGACACGAAGCGAAGACAGTTGCGGAAGGAAATGGCAGACGCCGCCGCCGCATCAGCCTCAAAAACAACAGCAACAACAGGAAGAGGGGCCACCGATGCTGCTGCTGCTGGGATGACGTCGTTTGACTCGAAGAAGGAGAAGTGACCCCTTCAATAGGGGAAATCACTCATTCTTTATTTTGTTTTTGCTTGGCATTTTTTGATAATGAGTAAACAAACACAAATATCCACACGTGGAAAATATTTGTGGCCTCTTAATTTTCTGCGTAATGTATTTATTTCTCTATGCATCTCTTTATGTACACACACTGCTAAACACATGGACCTTCTATTATTATTACTATTATATATATATATATTTTGCTGGCGATGTTGCTTTCCAAGGTCTGTAGGGACATAAAATTTCCTGGTGAATGGCATGAGCTCCTGGGTGTCCGTTGAAAACTTCCTGCACGGCAAAAAGGCGGCGTATGTCCGACGTGGCCTGGTCCTTTTTGGTCTCTACGGTGTAGCCAGCGACTACTACCTGATGCACTATTATAAGGCGTTTGACCCAAGTGAGGGACAATTGTACGTAATCGACTGGAGTCCCATTGGACGCCCACGGTGCCAGGTGCATGTGTTACCCAGCAATCACTACCCAAATTACACGCCGTGGACGCCCAGGAATGGCGACGTCGTACTCGCGCGCACGGTACCAAATGAACCCAACTGGCTCCAGCTCATCAACGGACGTTTCGTGGAAAATCAAACATGTGGGGTGCCTCTCGCGATACCCCTTGTGGAGGTGCAAGAGAAAGAGAACCAGCGGAAGCGAAAGGAGGAGAAGTCGCAAAAAATTCTTTAGTGAGAGAAAACCGTGTTGTGGGAGGCGGCATCCCTTTCTTCTCACAGACTTTTGCAAATCTTTTATTTCTGTCTTGCACAATTCTCAACGGGGGCGTGTCGCTCCCTTTCACTGGCAGGCGTTATTATTGAAGTGTAATCTGCTGCTTTTTACCCACGCATTAATTTTTCACCTTTTTTTTTGTTGTGGCTGTGTTGTTGCATTCATTTATTTCTAAATAAATGGAGGTGC